TGATAAATTTCCATACGCTAACGGAAATAATATTTTGGTATGTGCTTTTTTTACTTAAAAAGTATGAAAATTGACCTTTTGTTCGAATTCATTCATATTTTCATGGAGTGTAAAAATATCAGATGAAGTCATTTTTCGTTCTGCTTTCACTCGTGATATGCGTTTTTTCACCGCATTAGCATCATCAACATCAATCTTTGTGACAATTTTTTACAATGCAATAAAAAACTCATTAATGCTATAAAAAATGTAAAAAGTTTATAAAAAAATTTTAAACGATAGGAATACTTTTGATAATTAGATAATTTAAAAAAAATTTTTACTCAATTATTTTGCTAGCAATTAATACCTTATATGAAACGACACCGGTAAGAGTTTGCAACTGATCAGCTGTATACAATTTTGGTGGATAGATATGATGAGGAAGGCGACGATCGCCTAATGGATACTGTTCCATATGCCAAACTTTCATCGTTTGTATTATTGTTATTGTTGTTTCTGTTAATGTTTATTGTTATTATTGTCATTTCTATTATTGTTGTTGTCGTTGTTATTATTTTGTTGTTGCCGGAATAAACGAAGAATGAAAATAAATTTTTATTAAAAAATTAATGTTTCCAGATTTATTTTCTTTTAAGAATTATTTTAAAACACTTATATTCGTGACGTTTGACATTTGAAATGTAAAATGAAGGTGAAAATTTTTTTTTTCAATTATTGAAATAGAATAAAACAGTGAGCTATCGATGAGAAGGGAAAAATATAAATTCTCTCGCTTTTTTTCTTCCTTCCCCTCTCTTTCTCTCTCTCTTTTTCCTAAATAATCATTTAAATTTATAATTATACAATAAAAGGGATTGTTTTTTTCTGATGCTGAAAAAGAAAGTCATTTTATGATATCAAAAAAATAAAAAATTCATTGCAAATGAATAAAATAAAAAATTGTCGGAATATGATTTGTAAATATTTTGGTCGAATTTACTCTGTCTTAAAACTCAATTATGAAAGTATAAATTGGTCATGTTAAGTTAAATGTGAAGATGAAACTACGAAGTAAAATAAAGCAAAAACAAATACATAATAGAAATATTACATGGAAATATGATTTTCTATGTATCTTTTTAGACGTCTGTTTAATAAGTACATCAAACATTGTAGGATTAAAAAAATATAGACTTAAAAAAGTTCAAT